GTTGCATTTGAAGTTCAGGTTCTGTCTCAATAAGAAGATTGATTCAAATTTCCGCGCTCATCAAGTAGCTGTCACGTGTTTGGAAGAGGATGGTGCGCACGGACATTTCATTAGCAAATCACAGGCATTTACGTTCACTTAGAAACCACCTTTGTCCGGCTTGATAAACAATACAGCATGAGAACGCTTAGCTTAACTTAGCTTACAGTAGTATGCAACAGTTGGAATACGAGAGTGTGCTAAACTTTACCGCCTTCAATTATGCGCAAACGAGTTGCAACAAAACAGTCGGAGCGACAGCAGTTCTGAAAAAGTATGCACTTCTCCTACGCTGCCATTAAAGCCTAAAGTACATGCGTAGCTTGATTATTAGTACTGACCAGAAAGTAGAAAATTATAAGTGCAACAGCACTCTTGTTGATAGAACGCTGCCTCGCATAATTGCAGAAAACTAAGAGCTACACATTCAACAGACTAATACTTAGCCATTTAGGCCCATACGCACAGAGTACATAAGCTGTCATGTCGGAAGTGTCGGTAAGGCAGTTAATAAAAGCACCAGACGATCAGATGAGCTCTCTGACTACCAGAAAGGATTCTGTTTTAACTGTTATCACCTCCGATACTCATTCTGAGCGATAGCTACCCGTCACGTTAACAGTTACTCTTTAATATTACGTCACCTTAAAGAACATTTTGGCAGAAGGAAAGAGTAGATGTCAATAAGAATGCACTACATTGCAAACATATAAGACTGTCTCACAGTAAATAAGAAGGGTTATGTCCTTGCCTGGGCTCGAACCAGGGACCTTCTGTGTGTTAGACAGATGTGATAACCACTACACTACAAGGACATTGGATGAATGATGCGTCATTCAGAGGAATCGACAAGCAGCTATCTCAATTATGTAATATAAATCCCGCGTAGCAACTTGCTGCTACCACTCATTGATTTATATTGCATAACAGAGATAGTTGGTTGTGGACTCCTTTGAATGACGCATCATTTATCCAACGTCCTTGTAGTGTAGTGGTTATCACATCTGTCTAACACACAGAAGGTCCCTGGTTCGAGCCCAGGCAAGGACATTACCCTCCTATTTATCGGGGCAGAGTCCCACATACCTGTTCAGTAAACTAATAAAATGCATTTGAATATACAGTATGATGTAAAAGATAAATAAGTTTTCGTGTTCACACCGTGGATAGACCGAATTAACAACAAATACCACGGACGTTTACAGATCAGCCCATCAGATGAGCCTTCTCCTTGCGTGAAAGGTTTTTGTTTTAGCTGTTATTACACGGGTCTATCGTGACTTTCTGATACATCGCATTTAATAATCAGTCGCCGTAGATAGAGCAGTTAAAAGATAGTCTTGAAGACTACGTAATCATAAAACATTTTTTGCAGGCAGAGAGTAGATATCGCTATGGCCGAGCCGTATGATGGGCATAAATGGTTGTCTCTGCGTAAATGGCAATAGTAATGTCCTTGCCTGGGCTCGAACCAGGGACCTTCTGTGTGTTAGACAGATGTGATAACCACTACACTACAAGGACGATGGATGAATGATGAGTCATCCAAAGGTATCCACAATCAACTATCCGAGCTATGTTATATAAATCACGCATACCACTTACTGTCACCTGTATAAGTCGCTAATAACTAGTGCCTTCTACTACTCATTCATGGATATTACATAACTGAGATAGATGGTTGTGGACTCCTTTGAATGACTCATGATTTGTCCAATGTCTTTGTAGTGTAGTGGTGATCACATCTGTCTTACACACAGAAGGTCCCTGGTTCAAGCCCAGGCAAGGACATTAATATTGTCATTTACGGAAAGACAATCCTTTATGTCTGTAATACAGCACAGTCTTATTGATATCTACTCTTTCCTCCTGCAAAAAATGTTTTAGGATCACGTAGACTTCCAGAGTAACTCTTAATTGTTTTACCTACGGCGACTGGTTATAAAACGCGATGTATCGGAAGTCACGGTGGACTCCAGTAATAACAGCTAAAGCAAAAACCTTAAACGCAAGCAGAGAGCTCATTTGATCGTCTGATCTGTAAACGTCAATGGTATTTGTTGCTAACTGGGCATATGAAGGATTTGGACATGAAAACTTATTTATGCTTTACTGATACTGTATATTCAAATCCGCTTCATTGGTTTCCTCAACGGGCATGTCAGATTCTGTATAGTTTAATAAGAATGGTAATGTCCTTGCCTGGGCTCGAACCAGGGACCTTCTGTGTGTGAGGCAGATGTGATAACCACTACACTACAAGGACGTTGGATGAATGAAGCGTCATTCAAAGGAATCAAGGGCTAACTACCTCGTTCATGTGGTATAAAACACGCAGAGCACCTTACTGCTACATGTATAAGTCACTAAAAACTAGTGGCTTCTACTACTGATTGACTTATATTACATAATTGAGATAGTTCGTTGTGGACTCCTTTGAATGACTCATCATTTGTTCAATGTCCTTGTAGTGTAGTGGTTATCACATCTGTCTAACACACAGAAGGTCCCTGGTTCGAGCCCAGGCAAGGACATTACCCTCCTATTTATCGGGGC